TTGCTTTTCGTAGAAATAATAGACCAGAAGGACTGTACTCAGGCGTCATGTGTAGGGTGATATTTTACGGCGCAAACTGTCTTTCATCCTTTAGATGTAATGAGGTGATATTTTACGATGCAGTCTCCGTCTTTCATCCCTTAGCTGTAAACACAGACCGAACTATGTAAGTTGAGTTCGAGACGGGGTTCCGACTTCTAACTTTTCATATTTTTTATTTTTCCTGCATAGTTCCATTTGAAACGCATTTTTTCATCTTTTCCTGGAAGTCCGGGGATTCTGAAAAAAATTTTTTTTCAGGCATTCTACACTGTAAAAGTGTCTCCACATGGTCGCTGGATCGTTGGTGCGGCATTTGACCGCAACGTTGAAAAGAGCAAGTGGTAAGAGCGGTTGGGGACCGTACAGAAATCTGCGCAGAGGTGAACATTTTGTTGGAACCGAGCCACCTCCACTGAAGTATCACGTGGTAGGTTTTTTTTTTTGTTTCTTCGAAAACTGTCTTTGTTTTTGCTAAAAATTTGAATATTTTGCTATTTCTGGACCTGTGTTCGTAAATTTGTATGAGTTTTATTTTTTTTGTGAAATCTTTGCTGTTTGAAGTTACGACACGAGTAAGAAATATTTGGAAAGTTTTTTGGAAACAGTCAGATAGTTCTTTAGGTCAGTGCATGAACAGTTACTTGATTTTTTGACAACGAATTCGTTTTTCTGTGCAGAAGTTGCTGAAAACTAAATTAATGGCATTCAAGATTCCATGGCATAGACCAGTAGTAGTTGGAATGAATCCAGATGGCTTCCTGGATTGGGAGGGGGAATAGGAGGTATCGAAAAGAGTTTTCTACAGTAGAACAATTGCAACCTGTCCCCCCTCCCCCTCACCCTATCGGCAATGAGTTGAATGAAGAAATGGTGGAGGTATTGGCAGCCGAAGACTTGACATTCAAAACGAGGACAGCCCGGTTTGCCTGGGAAATTAGAAGACGGCCAGCTGAGGAACCTCTGAAGAAAAATAGCATTCCTGAGATCCGGAACTGAACATTTGTGTCATTTGGCATCGCAGCGTTTTCTTCAATAACGCTATTTTTTTAAAGCTTCAAGATAAGAAGCCATTACATAAATATGGATTACAAGGGACGCATCATCTTTTGCCCGGTACTGGAAAAGTAAGTGCCACACTGCCGACCAGAGCTGTCCTCAAGAAAGACAAAATTTATGCGTGGTGCTCGTGCGGTTACAGCGGCAATCAGGTATGATTTTTTTCTTAGAATTACTTTTTTCTGCTGTAATTCACAATCTATACAGTTTTTCCAGTTGCTTTGACAAGTGCTACATTGTTTCGGTGGTCAGTTTGCTGGTAATCCTGACGTTATTTCGTTTTTGAAGAAATGACCACTCAACAGTTTTCTTAACAGAAGCACTTTTTTCTAAAAGTCTAGCCATTTCTGAATGTCAGTGGTGTGTTT